TAACCAGAGTCTAACCTGCTGGGGTTTTTTCAGAGCCTAACTGAGCTGAAGTCAAACTCCAGCTGACTTTACCCATCCTGTCCTATCTCAGGGTGAAAAAAATAATAATAAACTGAGAACTTGTGGAGTCCATAATTTGGAGGCACAGGCTCACTAACAGACTGAAACCTAAATAATCATAGGACTATAGAATGCTTCCCCTGCCCACACAGCTTACCACCCATTACTGAAGCCCAATTTACAGCAGTTCCTTTTACCCAGTCCATCATGTCTGGCTGTCAGCAAAAACAACAAGGCATACTAAGAGGCAAAAAACAGTTTGAAGAGACAGACCAAGCATCAGAACCAGACTGAGATATGGCAGTGTTAATGGAATTATCAGACAAGGAATTTAGAACAACTATAATTAAAATACTAAGGGATAAATGAATAAAGTAGACAGCATGCAAGAACAGATGGGCAACATAAGCAAAGAGATGGAAATTCGAAGAAAGTACCAAAAAGAAATGCTAGGGGTCAAAAACACTGTAATAGAAACGAAAAATGCCTTTAAAGGAGTTATTAGTAAACTGGACACAACTCAGGGGGAATAATAAAAAAAAAAAAACAGCTTGAGGATATTTCAATAGAAACTTCCGAAACAAAAAATAAAAGAGAAAAAAAAAATACTGAAAAATACCAGAACAGAATATTGAAGAACTATAGGACAACTACAGAAGGTATAACATGTGTGTAACGGGAATACCAGAAGGAGAAGAAAGAGAGAAGGCAAGAGAAGAAACACTTGAAACGTTAATGACTTAGAATTTTCCCCCAATTAATGTCAGACACCAAACCACAGATCCAGCAAAGTCAGAGAACACCAAGCAGAATAAATGCCAGAAAAATTGAACCTCAGCATATAATTTTCAAACAACATGAAATCAGAGATAAAGAAAATCCTGAAAGAAGCCAGAGGAAGAAATACCTTATCTATAGAGGAGCAAAGATAAGAACTACATCTGACTTTTCCTCAGAAACCATGTAAACAGGAAGAGTCGAGTGAAATAGTTAAAGTTTGAGAGCAAAAAAGTCCACCTATTTGGAATTCTGTACCCTATGAAATTATCCTTCAAAAGTGAAGGAGAAATACAGACTCGGTGGGACAAACAAAAATTGAGAGATTTTATTGCCAGAAAGCCCATCTTACAAGAAATATTAAAAGAAGTCCTTTAGAGAGAAGGCAAATGACATCGGTCTGTAATTCATATTTACATGAGGAAAGAGAAAGCACTGGAGAATAAATAAGTGAAGGAAAAATAAATGCTGTTATTTTTCTTATTCTTAAGTGATCCAACAGGTAACAACTTGTTCAAAATAATATAAGCAACAATGTATTTGATTATGTATATTTTTATTTATATATAAGTAAAATGCATGACAGCAATAATACAAAGGATGGGAGGAAGGAATTTGGATTATTTGGTTATTATAAGGTACTGGCACTACCCTTGAAGTAGTATATTGTTATATTGTTATTTGAAAGTGAACTTGGATTTGTCATAAATGTATATTGCACACTCTAGGGCAACCTCTAAACTAAAAAAAAAAAAAAAAAAAAAGCATAACTGATATGCTAAGAAAGGAGAGAAAATAGATAATATAATATACTCAAAACCACAAAAGGCAAAAAAAAAAGTGAAGGAGAAAAATAGAAACAAAGAACAAGGGCAATAAATACAAAACTAACAAAATTTGGTAGATATTAATCCAACTATATCAATGATCACTTTGAATGCCAATGGTCTAAATGTACCAATTAAAAGAGTATCAAAGTAGATCAAAATACAAGATCTAAGTGTGTGTTGTCTATAAAAAATGCACTTTAAATATAAAGACACAGGTGAATTAAAAGAAAATAGATGGAGAAAGATATATCATGCTCACATTAATCAAAAGAAAGCAGTAACAACTGTATTAATTTCAGACATAGCCTACTTCAGAGCAAAGAAAGTTGTCAGAAACAAAGAGGGCCATCATATAATGATAAAAGGGTCACTTCTCCAAAAAGACATAACAGTTTTTAATGCGTATGCACCTAACAACAGAGCATCAAAATATGTGAGGCAAAAACCAATAGAATGGCAAAAAAATAGATTAACACATTATTGTTAGACACTTTAATACCCCTCTCCTCCTTCAGAAATGAACGGATATACCAGGCAGAACATTAGTAAGAGTATAATTGAACTAAATAGCACCACCAATCAACTGGATATAATGGACATGGACTACTTCGTATAACAACAGAAGAATATATAATCATCCCTCAGTATCCATGGGAGATTGGTTCCAGGATCCCCCTCAAATACCAAAATCCATGAATGTGCAAGTCCCTGATATAAAGTGGTATAGCATTTGCATATAACATTTGCGCATCCCTTTGTATACTGTAAATCATCTCTAGATTACTTATACCTAGTACAATGTAAATGCTACGTAAATAGTTGTTGTTAGTATTATTGTTGTTAATAGTATTATTAGTATAATTAGTATTAATGATTGTTAATAGTATTATTGAGGGAAACATGAAAGAAAAAAGTCTGTACGTGTTCAGTACAAACATATTTTTTTTCAAATATTTTCTATCTGTGGTTGATTGAATCCATGAATACAAAATCCAAAGTTATGAAGGGCTGACTATACATTCTGAGCTCCCATGGAACACTCACCAAGACAGAACCCCATTCTGGGCCATAAAACATATTTCAACAAATTTTTTAAAACAGAAATCATATAATGTCTGCTGTTAGACTACAATAGAACTAAACTAAAACACAGTAACAAAGATAGCTGGAAAATCCTCAAATACGAGATTAAACAATAAATTTCTAAATAAGACATGGGAGAAATAAGAAATCTCAAGATAAATTTAAAAATATTTTAAACCAAATGGAAATGAAAACACAACTTACCCAAATTTGGGGGATGCAATTAAAATGTACTGCACATGGAGGGAAATTTACAGTATTGAATGCATGCATATATTAGAAAAAAAGATCTAAACTCTACTATCTAAGCTTCCACCTTAGGAAGTTATAAAAAGAAATTAAATTACCCAAATTAAATCCAAAGTAAGCAGAAGGAAAGAAATAAAAATTAGAGCAGAAATCAAAGAAATTGAAAACATAAAATAAAGAAAATCAATGAAACCAAAAGCTGGTTCTTTGTAAGGATCAATAAAATTGATAATCCTCTAGTTATTCTAAGAAAAATGAGAGAAGACATGAATTGCTAATAATCAAGAATGAAAGAGGTGACATCATTGCAGATGTGGTGAACATTAAAAGGATAATAAAGGAATATAATGAATAACTCTCTGCCCACATTTGATAACCTAGAAAAATTTACCAGTTCCTTGAAAGATACAATCTTTCAAAACACACACCAGAAGAAATAAACAATGTGAATAGGCCTAGATTTATTAAATAAATTAAATAAATAAATAATAAACCTTCCATGGCAGAAAGCACCAGGTCTAGATGGGTTTATGGTAAATTCCACCAAATGTTTTATTTTATTTTAGAATTTCTTTTATCATCATCATTATTATTATTGAGACATGTCTCTCTCTGTTGCCCAGGCTGGAGTACAGTGGCAAGATCACTGCAGCCTTATCCTCCCGAGCTCAAGAGATCCTCCCACCTCAGCCTCCCAAGTAGCTGGGACTATAGGCATGTGCCACTATGTCCAGCTAATTTTTGTATTTTTTGTAGAGATAGCGTTTCATCGTGTTGCCCAGGCTGGTCTCAAACTCCTGAGCTCAAGCAATCTGTCCACCTCAGCCTCCCAAAGTGCTGAGATTACAGGTGTGAGCCACCATGCCTAGCCAATTCCACCAAATATTTAAGGAAGAAATTTTACCAATACTCTACAATCTCTTTCAGAAAATGGGAGCAGAGACAATATTCTGACTCTAACTAATTCAATGAGGCTGCTATTACTCTAATTCCAAAACTAGGCAAAGGTATTACAAAAAAAAGAAAACTACAGAACAACAACTGTCATGAACATAGAAGCAAAAATCCTCAACAAAATATTAGCCAACTGCATCTGATTATGTATAAAAGGAATTATATACCAAAACCCAATTAGGATTAATCCCAGGTGTGCAAGGCTGTTTCAACATTTAAAAATGAATTAATGAAATCCATCACATGGAAAGATTTAATAAGAAAAATCATATGATCATATCAATTGTTGTAGAAAAGGTATTTGACAAAATTAAAGCCTCATTCATGATAAAAACTCTCAGTAAACTAGGAATAAGGAGAATTTCCTCAACTTTATGAATAATTTCTACAAAAAACCTACAGCTAACATTATACTTAATGGCGAGGACATGAAGCCTTCCTTCTAAGACCAGGAACAAAGGGAAGATATCCCCTCTCACCACTGCTTTTCAACATTGTACTGGAAATCTTAGCTAATACAGTAAGAAAAGGAAATAAAAGGTATACAGATTGGAAGAGAAGAAATGAGTCTGTCTTTATTTGCAGATGACATGATCATCTATATATACAATCTGAAAGAATCCACAAAAAAGATCTCTGGCATTAATAAGCAATTGTAGGCCAGGTATCATGGCTCATGCCTGTAATCCCAGCACTTTGGGAGGCCAAGGTGGGCAGATCACTTGAGGTCAAGTGTTTGAGAGCAGCCTGACCAACATGGTGAAACCCTATCTCTACCCAAAATAAAAAAAAATTAGCTGGGCATGGTGGTGCATGCCTGTAATCCCAGCTACTCTGGAGGCTGAGGCACAAGAATCACTTGGACCTGGGAGGTGGAGGTTACAGTGAGCCGAGATCGTGCCACTGCACTCCAGCCTGAGTGACAGAGCAAGACTCTGTCTCAAAAGAAGAAGAAGAAGAAAAAAGCAAAGCAATTATAGCAAGGTTTCAGGATGCAAAGTTAACAAAGTTAACAGAGGGCTGGGGCCATTTTGGAAGCATTTGCGAGGCTCCACTTCTACAAGTATGGAGAAGGCAAAAGGCAAGGAGACCTCCACAGAGAAGTCAAGGGAAGAGGATCAGCAGGCTTCTAATCAACTAAACATGATTGCTTTGCCAGGAACATCAGCAAAGGGAACCAAAGAAAAAATGTCTGTCAAAGGCAATAAAGTGCTCTGTCCTAAGAAGAAGGCAGAGTACAGTGACAACCCCAGACCTCAGAAGAAGATACCAATCCCTCCATTACCCTCTAAACTGCCACCTGTTAATCTGATTCACCGGGACATTCTACGGGTCTGGCGAAGCTGAGCTCCAAAGGCCAGAAATTGGATGCATATAAGCGCCTGTGTGCCTTTGCCTACCCAAATCAAAAGGATTTTCCTAGCACAGCAAAAGAGGCCAAAATCCGGAAATCATTGCAAAAAAAATTAAAGGTGGAAAAAGGGGAAACGTCCCTGCAAAGTTCTGAGACACAGCCTCCTGAAGTGGCCTTTCCCCCTGCGGAGGGGCCACCTGCCCTGGAAGATTCCACTGCTCTCCTTGAGGGAGTTAATATAGTTGTGGTGACAACTTCTGCCCCAGAGGCTTTGCTGGCCTCCTGGGCGAGAATTTCGGCCAGGGCGAGGACGCCAGAGGCAATGGAACCTCCACAAGAGGCCTGTGGTGTCAGGTGGTGTGTGGTCCATGGGAAAAGCCTCCCTGCAGATCCAGATGGTTGGGTTCACCTGCAGTTTCATGCTGGTCAAGCCTGGGTTCCAGAAAAGCAAGAAGGGAGAGTGAGTGCACTCTTCTTGCTTCCTGCCTCCAATTTTCCACCCCCGCATCTTGAAGACAATATGTTGTGCCCCAAATGTGTTCACAGGAACAAGGCCTTAATAAAAAGCCTCCAATGGGAATAGAATATCAGGAAAAAGGCCACATCTATGGTAATTAATGGCAGAAAGTCTGGAGAGTCGGATTCTGCGGGGCTGCTGACAGGTGAACTCTGGTCCTCTGCACACCTGTTTATGGACCGTGCAGACTGGTGGGGTGGCAGATGTTAGCCTAAGAGCCCTAGCAGTGCCTGTTGCTTTGTGAGTGGAGATAGAGACTCTCAGATTTAAAAACAGAAAAACGTTTCGCAAATTACCATAAATTGTAGTTAATATGTAGAAAAACTCATTCATACTACTTTTCTAAAATAGGCATGACTTCAGCAGCAGCTCTTTTTTGTTTTGTTTTGTCTTTTGAGACAGTGTCTCACTCTGTTGCCCACGCCGGAGTGCACTTGTGCGATCTCAGTTCAGTGCAATCTCTGCCTCCTGAGTTCAAGTGATTCTCCTGCCTCAGCCTCCTGAGTAGCTGGGATTACAGCACCGCCACCACACCCAGCTTTTTTTTTTTTTTTTTTTTTAGTAGAGATGGGGTTTCCCCATATTGGCCAGGCTAGTCTCAAACTCCTAGACTCAAGTGATCCACCCGCCTTGGCCTCCCAAAATGCTGGGATTATGGGCATGAGCCACTGTGTCTGATCTTCAACAGCTCTTTTAAGTGAGAAGTTCGTCAGCTAAGCATTGTGAAGGAGTTGAGTAAAACGGTAGTTGGCTCTTGTGCTCAATTTTCTCTTCCTCTGAACACTGACTACTTTAGGAGCTGCTTCATTCCAATTGCAATTTCATAAAACGTAGAGTATTTTAAGGCAAAGAAAGGCTGTTAATTCTCTTCCTCCCTCAAACATATGATTTTTAATATTTGAAACAATATTTTTCAAAGTTCTCTTAACCTGAGATTTCTGTGGTTTGACTCCAGGATCAAAACACAAGGGACTTTGTCTGTATTATTTCACTTATAATTGTTTTGTATATTTCTGGTGTTTAAAATGTTTAAGGTTGCTTCCCACTCATAAATACATAATATGTTGAACTTAAAATGTGTTTATTAACTGATTCTCCATAAATAAAAATAAGATGTGTATATAAAATAATTCATCTGTTGTATTTAGGGAACCGTATTCGTTGCATGCAAATTTTATTGTTAGTGTTCTTAACTCAAAAGTAGGAGTAAACCAAAATGTGTGATTTTTCTTTTGTATGACTCATTTGTTTGTTCTTTATTAGTTGGCGGTATGGGTTGGATCATTTGTTTTTAAAACTACTTAGGTATGATTGTCATACAAAAACTGTACATATTTAATGTATCCTATTGAGTGTAATTAATTTTTAACTTTTTTGTGTACTTCCTAAATTTATAGTCCGGTGAGTCTGGGAACAGATCTGTTTTTCACTTGTCCTGATTTAATGACAGTTTCCAACATTGTTTTGTTATTACAAGTATGGAATCTTTATTATTTTTATTTTATTTTATTTTGCCCCTTTAATGAAGATACTAAAAATAATGCACTGGAAGGAGTGGCAGAGTTGGAAAATTTGTAACCATCATAATTCAGATGTAATAGGTTTGGGAAAGAATCCTCAAAAATGTTAAAGCAAGGGAGGAAAGTTTGTTGAGAAGCAAGATGTTCTCTCCTGGACCCCATTGGTTGTTGGTGGTCAGAATTGTTCAGTGTAATAAATAATAGACACATTTTTCTTGTACTAAAAAAAAAAAACAAAAAAAACCCCCCAAAAAACAAAGGTAACACACAAAAATCAATCACTTTCCTATATATCAGCAATGAACAAGTGGGATTTGAAATTAAAACACAATACCATTTATGTTAGCATCCAAAAAGATGAAATAAAGTTGGCTCTCAGTATCTATGAGTTCTACATCTGTGCATCCGATCACCTGCAGATTAAACATACTCATTAAAAAAATAAAAAGTAAAAATAATAAAATATAAGACAAATAGAAATACAGTGTAATAAAGTATTTACCTAGCATTTACATTGTATTAAGTATTATATGTAATCTAGAGATGATTTAAAATCTCCAGGAGGATGTGCATGATTATATGCAAATGCTACACCATTTTATATTAGAAACTTGAGCATTTTTGGAGTTTAGTATCTGTGGGGGGTCCTGAAATCAACATCCCATGGATGCCAAGGGACGACTGTGCTGAGAAATAAATATAACAAAATCTGTATACAACCTTTATAAGGAAAACCAGAAAACTCTGATGAAAGAAACCAAAGAGGAACTAAATAAATGGAGAGATATTCCATATTCATGGGTAGGAAGACTCAATATTGTCAAGATATTAGTTCTTCCTAGCTTGATCTGTAGATTCAATACAATCCCAGTCAAAATCTCAGCAAGTTATTGTGTGGATATTGACACGCTAATTCTAAACTTTACATGGAGAAGCCAAAACAAAACAAAACAAAACAAAACAACAGGATAGCCAATACAATATTGAAGGAGAACAAAATTGGAGGAGTGACACTATCTGAATTTAAGACTTACCATAAAGCCGCCATAATCAAGACAAAGTGGTATTGGTGAAAAATAGACAAGCAGATCAAAGGGTGAGAATAGAGGGCCCAGAAATGACCCAACATAAATATAGTACGCTGATCTTTAACAAAGGAGCAAAAGCAATATAATGGAACTAGAAATCTTTTGAACAAATAGTGCTGAGACAACTGGACACCCACACGCAAAAGTAAGAATTTTTACAGACCTTACATCCTTCACAGAAATTTAACTCAAAAATGGATCATTGACCTAAATGAAAAACTATAAAACTCTTGAAAGAAAACATAGGAGAAAATCAAGATGATCTTCAGTTTGATGATGACTTTTTAGATATAAAACTGAAGGCACGACTCATTAATGGAAGAACTGATAAGCTGAACTTAATTAAAATTTAAAATTCCTGTACTACGAAAGACACTGTCAAGAGAATGAAAAGACAAGCCACAGACTGAAAGAAAATTTTTGACAAGGGACTGTTACCTGAAATATACAAAGAATTCTTAAAACTCAACAATAAGAAAACAATCAGATTAAAAAATGGACCAAAGACCTTAACAGATATCTTACCAAAGAAGATATACAAAATGACAAATAAGCACATGGAAAGATGTTCATTTCATATGTCATCAAGGAAATGCAAATGGAAACAATGATATCCTATTACATACCTATTACTATGGCCAAAATCCGGAATACTTACACCACCAAATGCTGGCAAGGATGTGGAGCAACAGGAACTCATTCATTGCTTGGTAGCAATGCAAAATTTAACAGTCACTTTGGAAGACAGTTTTGTGGTCTCTTACAAAATGAAATACATGATTCAGTAGTTGTACTTGGTATTTACCCAAAGCAATTAAAATTTGATGTCCACACAAAAACCTGCACACATATGTTTATAGCGGCTTTGTTCATAATTTCCTAACTTGGAAGAAACCAAGGTGCTTGTATACATTCAATAGGTGAAAGTATACATAAACTGTGGTACATTTAGACAGTGGAATATTATTCAGCCCTAAAAAGAAATGAGCTATCAAACCATGAAAAGACATGGAGGAAACTTAGATGCATACTACTAAGTGAAAGAAGCCAATCTGAAAAGGCTCTATGCTGTATGAGTCCAACTATATAACATTCTGGAAAAGGTACTACTATGGAGACAGTAAAAAGCTCAGTGGTTACCAGGGATTAAGGAGAAGGGAGGGATGAATAGGCAGAGACAGAGAATTTTTAGGGCAGTGACACTACTCTGTAGGATACTATAATGGTGGATACAGGTTATTATCCATTTATCTAAACCCACAGAATGTAGAACACCAAGAGTGAACCCTAATGTAAACTATGGACACTGGATCATAAGGATGAATCAAAATAGGTCATCAGTGGTAACAAATGTACAACTGTGGTGGGGGATACTGATAGTAGGGGAGGTCATACATATGCAGAGGCAGGGAGTATATGGGAAATCTCTGCACCTGAACCTAAAATCGCTCTTTAAAAGATCTATATACAAGCATAGCTGTCACAAATTAACTGAAAATCATACAGAAATTAGAAAATTTGACAACTGTATGATCTTTGTATTGGAAAAGATGTTACTAGATCATTCAGTGACTTTCAAACTTTTTGGACTACTACTCACCATTAGAATATATGTCACATAACAACCTAGGACACACACACACACACATACTTTGCACCTACAAAACCATATTATATATTTCATGAAACAATGCTTAGGTTTACTCTTTGTAATCTGCTGATATTTTTAATACTATTTTTCTCTATATTTTAAGAAAATATGTTGGATTGTGACTCACTAATTAATTTCGTGAACTGTGATTTGAAAAATACTAATCTAATACAATATTTGGTGTTTTGGACCCAACCCCTTACAGAAAACTTCCTGTTTCCCACTCAGCACTGATCTTTGGCCAAGTGCACCAACAGGACTCCTGAGGTGGTTTAGGGTTGGGCAGGGTTCAGTGGGACCATTTCACATTGGAGCTGACAATCTCCTTCAAGTCCTCTGGAGCCAAGATTGGAGGCAGGAATACATCTCAGTGAATGCAATAGCTTTCTGGGTCCTACAGTGATATGAACATTTCAGTCAACACTTTTGCACATGGGGGTACTTAATAAATACTTGCTTTGCTGATTTGGCTTCACTTGTTAATAAAAGCCCACTAAAGCCTTATCGTAAGCATGCACTTATTCTCCTTACTTTGTACTATGAACAAAGCTTAAATAGAGCTGCTGGCATGTTAAATGGTTTGCATTTGTGTTCCCATTTGACTTAGTAGATATTGACCCATGGCATCTTGAAGGGTTCAGTGTTCAGAATGATGCTGAAGCTCCATCACTGGTGTCATTCTTTTGAAGGATGCTCATACATCATTTCTCAGTCAAGTTCATTCAACTTCATTCACAGGGGATGGACTGGAGCCCATGCAGGGCTTTCTTGTTAAGCACAGCAAAAGGATGCACATTTCAGACATCT